CCCCCCCACCTGCATTCTCCCTTTCGTCTCTGAACACAGGCGTGCGTGGGTGTGCAGTCTGCGTCGCGTTCTGTTGCCTAGCTCAATTCAACATGAGCTATCTTAACCTGTTTTATTGTGTACAGTCATAGTTTGAAATCCAGGTTTGCCATACGAATTCTAACAGTGGTCAGCAACGCATACCGCACTCAGGTGAAGGCAGGAAATGTGTATTTTGTTTATGTTACACTACAAAGCTATCAAAACATTATTGATGGCATATGTTCTAACCGTTAAAAAATAAATTAAATTTAAATCAGAAAACAACAAAAAATGTTAATTTTACGTGGTGGAAATGTCTATCGCTTTCATCGATGCGTGCATTCACTCTTATCCTGTTTAATGCAACCCGGTGAAGAGTTTCTGTTGAAGAACGGGTTCACCAGACGAGCTGTTGTCGATTTGTTTGCCAAAGGTGAATCGGAAAATGTATCCCTAAACTCGTTATAGCAAGTTAAATAAGAACGAGACGCCAGACAGTGTTTGACAATGAACACGAGTTACGGTTCTGAAAACGACATCCTTGCACTTCGACTACTGAAAGACAACTGACTGGCGCGAGCAGGTTACAATATGACGCGACATCTGTGGGCTCTTGTATAGTCACAGCGATATTGCGATTTTGAATCCAATCTAATCCAATTGTTTCATTGCGCTTCGCAGATATTGCGTTTTTTTTTTTTACAAATTGAAGGTTTGTAGCAACCCTGCGTCGAGCAAGTCTATGGCGCCATTTTCCCAACAGCATGTGCTCACTTCGTGTCTCTGTGTCACATTTTGGTAATTCTCGCAATGTTCTGGCATTGCGTTTTAGACATAATGCTATTGCACACTTAATAGACTACAGTATAGTATAAACATAACTTTTATATGCAAGAAATTCGTGTGACTCGCTTTTTGCGGTGGTCTGGAACCGGACCCGCAATATCTCCGAGGTATGCCTGTACTTTGATGTGGGTTGCGTGAATTTTAGATCACCGTGGTCCTAGGGAGCGCTGCGTAAGTCAAAAACTTGCCAGATCACAAGGCTATCTTATTTAAGAGCGCATTGGCTTTGTTAATGCGTCTGTTACAAGTCGGAAATTTAATCTGTGCGTCTGCAGTTGTGTCGATTTAATGATAAGCTAAGCTTTATGTCTAATATAGCTTTTACGCTTGCGTGGGTATAATCTGTTACGTTGCAAGCCCCGTGACACGGATAGGGCTGACATGACGTAGTGCCGTGGAACGGTAAGGCAGAACACCGCTATATCCACCAATAAGGCGGAGAGTGAAATCGGTCGGTCCTATTGGCTTCGTGCTTGTCTCGTGCTATGGATTGGCACTGCGTCGGACATAACGAGAGCCAGTGATCGAAAAGCTTACATCATATTCACAAACTTCGGCCTTGGGCTATCTTCGCCGAGTAGTGAGGCGAACATCAAGTTCCCACTTGACCTCAGAACGTGTCCCGATGTGCAGACATGTTCAAAGTATCCTTATTTTAACGCTTTTCTAAATGTTTGTGAATCTAATGGATACATAACACTGAATTCACAGACATATTTGAATACTTCTCTTAAACTGAGGTACAGAAGCAGCGTCTCGGGAGATGACACAAAAACTATTTTACTTTTTTTTAATTTTCGATATCAGCATCTGCAGTGTGGATACAATCAGGAACTGTTCCAAGTTTAAAAATTTTCAAAGTTCCAATCGTACAATCGCAGGTTTGCCAGATTTTCAAATGAATGCAGTAAATAAACGACTATTAAATGGCGAAATCTCTTAATTCGAATAAAACATACTTTCATGATTCTCAATATTTAAAACTAGTTTCTCATCCCAGATACCTGAACTAAACCAGCTGACAGCCATAAAAGTAAATGTTATAGGCCAATAAAACGGTATGTTTTTTTATACAGTCTACGCCTTTGTTTACAGAATGTAAGTGCATCCCTGGACAAAAGACTTGCTTTCTCAGCACGCTTTTAAAATTCATAGTTGGCCAGACTTATTTAAATGAGGACGTCTAACGAAAGTATTGTTATAGGCATCGCTTATCCTTTTATATTGTTGAGTGTAACTTTACGCTCATTCCAATCAGACCTGAAATGAAGATTGCCACCATTCTTAATCATATGTCGATAACAAGCAATTCAATTAATGAAACTGTTTCCAAATAAAGATCAAAACCAGCAACTGACATTGTAACGACCTCATATATCGTAAAAAGAGCTGTGAGCTGAAGGGATTCTGTAGACCTACTATATGGAACAGGGCTTCAAGTTCTGCTTCTTTGACTTCAATGGAAACATCGCACTGTATGTTGTGTTTGGCTTAGACTGTAAAATGTTTCCATCTTCTTATTTTCTACCAATTCCAGAGATGCTACAGCAGGAGCATGAAAAATGACTGGTTCATTTATAATTATATAAGCCGAAAAGCCTAATACAGGGGTGATATTTATGGAACATACTTCCATAAAATTGTATATGTGTTTTATGCGTTATAACCTGCTCCAAGCCTATGATCGTTTCTGGAGAAATTTTCTGTCAGTTTTTTAATTGTTTTGGTACTCGGTAGGATCCTTTGGACGGGTGACGTCGTAAGGCTTGTGCCCTACACACAACAACACAGCACAGAAGAAAACTGACAAATATCCATCCTTCGAGCGGAATTTGAATTGGAAGTCTCAGCGTTTCAGCCACCAAGACACACACCTTTGAACTCCGTTAAATTACGTCATAATTATAGTAAACAAACAAGAAATAAACAATCATAATCAAAAGAACAACTAAGAAAGTTTGTGTGTGCGTGCGTACGTGAGTGAAAGAACACAGATCACAACGAAATGTTAAAGTCACTAAATTTATGCATCATTTCTTGAAATGATGAGTACTAGGATGTGATTTATTGCATTTTTTTTAGCAATTGGTTAAATTTATTTCAACGGTTTTTTTCGTAAATAATGTGCGAACAACGAAAAGAATATGGAACGAAACCATGATGCAAAGTGTTCAAACGGATTAAGATGCGTGGAAATGCTAAATTTCACAAAGGATATCCAATGTTTACTTCATGTTTAAAGGGCGGCTGCCGTGGTGTATATCCTTAGTTTTCTCGCATTATTGTTAAAAGCGTCTAAATCATTAAAGGCCTAGCCAGAAGTCGAGCCCCAGGCAACAAATTGCACTATAAATTTAGTACAGTAACGCGTTTCAAAGCTCAATACATCTAACGAAAATCAGGACTCGTAGGACGTTACAAGTTCCACTAAATGATCGATGTGAAATCGAACAGATTTTCTAGAAGATCCATTACTACCATTTGTAGTAAAAGAATTTGTGTTCTCATATTAAAATACCAAAGAAGTTAGCGAGTCAAATAGAATATGCTCATCAGATACTAGAAAAATAAATGGAAATACAATGGACCGTATGCCCATTGTTTATAGACATCAAAGGCCTACGAAGTGTTATACAACATTCACATTGAATTCAGCATACCAAACAAGCTTTTGAGTCCATTATCAATGTACTTATAGTAAAATTCATATAAGAGATTATTTATCTGACTCATTTTCCATCATACCGTTTAAAATAAGAAGATGATTTGTCTCCATTGCTTTTTAACTTTGCCCTAGAATGTGCCATCAGGAAAGTCCAAGATAGGCAGGAGGGTTTGCAATTGAATGGGACACATAAGCTATTGGCATATGCTGATGATGTTAACTTATTGGGTGACGATGTAAGTGTGTCTGGATAACTGTTCACCGATCCCAGCACCTACCGTTTAAGATGGGCATTCGGTTGGGGTCGTCATGTAGCGAAGTTTTCGGTGCAGAAATAACCTCTTTCATTCCGCTCCTTTCTTCGTCTGTCGTTGTTTTGAATTCGTAACAGTCCTCGTCCGCAAGGTCGGGCCACGCGGCGAGTTCTAGTGGTCACATTCGTACCTGCCGACCCGTGCTGATGATGCCCAGTGTAGCGAGGAATGCCTCAAGTATCCATGACACCGTTGAGTCCTTGTCCGGCTACGAAAATAGGCAACAGCAATGTCTGTGTTAACTTGCTGGAAAAATGTTACAACCACCCCCACTTCATTCAAGGTCTTTTACTGAAATCATAATTACTGAACGCAAGAGCTGCTATTATTTGTTCATCTCTGGCACAAGGAAGCCAAGGTAAATGAGTTCTATACCATCGAAAATACAACAAGAATTGCATTGTGTAAAGTATACCCATCCAGTGTTTACCTCAGACTCATATGTTAACACTCTACTAATTTAGCGGTAACTAATATGCACAAAAGACTGCCTTTTTATTAATGTCTTTGAAAATGTGGTTTATGGACATTGGACTTCGCTATGTATTTATCATTTATTAGTATTCGCTGTTGCAGGTAATCTGTTGGTTGATAGATAGTGTAGCCCTAAGCAAGGACCTTCAGTTGTGTAAGAGCAGCATACATTTTTTTTCACTTCTCTGAAGAACAAACAGCTAAACGGGATAGTGCCAACAGAGAAACGCGGATCGGCTTATTTGTTTAATTTGGATTTTCACATTTTTACTGCGACACTGAAACAGTGTAGAACGAGACGAGATTGATTCCATGCAGCAATGCAATTGCAGAGAAACTGATGACAAACTCAGCTATCAGAAAACTCCCCCTCGTGCCAACCGAAAACTTCATTACCGTCTTTACAAGAGCCCGACATCAGTCCTTATCCTGAGCTAGATGCATACAATTACCACTCTCAAAGCCTGTTTCCCTAAGACCCATTTTAATATTATCCCCTCTTTACGCTTACGTTTTCTGAGTGGTCTCTTTCCTTCAATGTTTGAAATCAGAACTTTGTATGCATTTATTATGTCTCTCATGCGCTCCATTTGCCTGGCCCATCACATCCTCCTTCATTTGATCGCCCTAATAATATTTTCTGAAGAGCGCAAACTGTGGAGCTCCTCACTGTGCAATTTTCGCAAACCCTCCTTCCACTTCATTCCTCATAGACACAAATAGTTTCCTAAGCTGTGTTCTTCCCTCAAAAGTTTTCACGTTTACTTATGGATCATCTTCCTTACTCGCGTGTGAACTAACCTCTATGTTTCCATTATAATATTTATGTTTTCACCTAATAGAGTAACATCATAAGCATAGATCAGGAGCCCAGTCCAGTCCCAGTCCATCTCTGTTTCCTTAGACCTTCCTGATTGGATATTCTAAGACAACGTTGACAATTGTGTATTCTGACGAATATATAATATCGATCAATAGTTGATCGATTACATAGAAATCCACATAAATGATACCCATTAGTTTCATCAACGTATGACATTAACCTTGGCAAAATAATGCTGAATATATTATTGTATTTAGCTCATAAAAGTGATATTATTCGATAATTACTAGAATCAGATTTATCACCCTTCTTTAAATAGGTACAATAACAGGTTTATTCCATTGCTCTAGCAATTATTCTCATTCCAAATACAAGTAAATAGTTTGTGGATCGCAGAACGTAATGTATTAATATCATCTCCTGCTTGGATCAGTTCGTACGTAATTTGATCAATACCTGGTGATTTTTACCTTTCCAACTTTTCAATATCAATCTCAACCACTAATGAGCTACGTGCAAATACTAATGGCCGAGCTGTTATTTACTTCAGTCTGCCTAACATCTTTAAACCCATGTGCATTCAATAGTTGGCGAAAATAATTATTCTACGCACTTAAAATACTATTGTCGTCTACAATCCGATCACTATTCTAATCCTTTACCAAGTTACGTCTATGATGATAAACATTCTTAAATTCATTTATGCCTCTACTCGTGAAAGTTCTACCAGATTCACGCCTTGCTTTGTCCATAGTATGCATATTCAGTACGTGTAGCCCATGTGAACAGAAAACAAAAGCAGTCTCCCGAGACCGAAAGACTGATTCCATTTCTTTCGCGAACTTAGTTTATAGTTCTTTTGCCTTGAACCTTCTATATATTTTAAAAGTTCTACATAAGATGTCATTACCAACATCACAAATAATTTTAGACATAGTTATATTAAAAAGTCCTTTTGGAGATTTTTTGTTCAGATATGATTTATTTCATATTTTTTTTGTTTGTTTCTCTTTTTCGTCTGCTTTTCCCTCATAATGATAAAACTTTCAAGGAATGTAGTTTCGTCCTTCCTCCCTATATTTTTGAACGAAACACAAACGCCGAGAATAATTCATGAAACAAACCACTTTATTTTTTTTAACACTGAGTATTATTTGTGCCAGTCCATCTTCGTAGTTCGATTCCCGAACGGGCTGAACTTTGTGATGAGGGCTAAACCAGGCTTTGGCATATTAATCTGGTTTATATAAACGAAGGAGGCGTGATCAGATGATATTTGGTACGCCTTACTTCATCCAAATTTGATAGATTTTATTACTTTTGGAATTGTTTAATATATTAAATTGGAAGAGAGTGGCAACAATCAGTCGTTTGAACGTCTTTCTTCCAGACTTTCAGTCTGGCGGCGACGTGACATTCACGAAGCTTTCGCACTCGTAAAAGTTGTTAACGAGGCGAAACCTTGATCCCTTCCGGATGTGGAATGACGGTTGCCCTAGAACAGTCGCCTTACTACGACTGGGACGAATGAATTTCGAATATGGCTTTTCGGCGCGTTTCCGAAGTCATGGGGTGACTTTTTCGGGGAAAAAATCCGATCCACGTATTCAATTAAAAATTTAAGAACAGTTACTGTTATAGCAGCGCTTTACTCTCTCAAGTTTTGTTCTTCAAGTCGAGCAGACACGTTCTGCTTTACTTTAATTTTACATACAAAGACAAACAGCGGAATCATCGCGCTGCCTTGCAATAAGTGTAATTGGGTGTACATCACTATGTCTCAAGAGGCAATAAAATGGGACATCGCCAAGATTACCACAGTGTCTTTTTCAGTTGCTCAAGGGAAGAGATTTCGCATCCTTCGCGAAAACACCACCCCTACCGCTGCCTTCCCCGTTTATTCCCTGAGAATCGGAGGCCCTTGCTCACCGACAAAACCCACACCCATTATCAGAATTTTCTTATATCCCTTCCGCACTTATCAGAAATATTCAAAGTTGTAACCGCACGAGTGCCAGGCACGTCACTGGGTTTGACCCGTGGCTACAATAAGCAAACAGCGAGTAGTGTGTGGAAGGGCGTTTACATACTTAATCTTCGTTTGTTTCTTAATGTCATCGTTCTCCACGCAACCACCGAAAGTCCTTCTAAAGACCAGCTCTAAGAATGTTCAATATAGAATTTTATTAAATACACAGGTCACTATATGCACAGAACGCGCAGGCGCTAATAAAAACTGCTGAAGGCCAGACAAATTCACCTGGCAGAACAACCAGAAGTCTGAGGCAATGTACGGAATTAAGTTGTTTATAAAATGATGCAAAAGTGCAAACTTTCTCGTGGGAGTAATTGTAAAAGATGATTCAGTATGAAGGACAAATCGTAATGCAAAATGGGTTATAAACGTAGGCAATGGATTTGATACTTAAAGGAGACACGATTTGAAAATGAATATAAAAGAATAACATGAGTTTGAAAACTTGACAAGGTCCTACCTGTATTACTTATGGCCACAAAGTGTAGATTTGTGAAAGATTAACAATCTTCAACAAAACGGGGTAAAAACGTTTGCTTATTTTTCTGACCGAAAAGATAAACCGGTAATTTCTTCTGTAAGATTCATGGACGAAAGAACGCGGAAGAGGATTTCAAATTGAAAGCATAACATGTATTTCACTTTCTATTGACGTACTGACGGGTATTAAAGACTATCTCTTTGGAATATTTAACCCCGCCATGATGTTGAAAGTACTGAGACCAAAATGAAGTTTTTCCCCTCATCCACAACAATGGAGACCCATCAGAATACTATAGAGTTCTAAAGGCCATCGTGCAACAGCAGTTATGCAGGAAGGCGTTCGCCAAGGACGTTCAGTGTCCTTAGGCACTATCATCCATATCGCAGTTCACTCGTGCTGAACGTTAATTTTCAGATCGGTCAGCGGGAGTTCTTATTCGGTGAAATCTGCTCACTTTTCAAATATCAATATCTTAATTAACGAAGATAGTTATACATGCTTCGAATTGAAATAAACGTGTTTTTAAAATGCGCTCTTTGCCATATTCAAGATCTCACTGACCTTGAAGTTCAATTATTGTTGTAGATACAAATCTATTTTCCCACATTGACGGCCAACCAGACTAAAATAGTACTTAAAACCCAGAGACCAGAAACGAAATTAGTTACGCAACTCAATTTAATTTCCTCCCCGCGATCAACATGTATTGATACATAATGAATCTAGAAATTCTTTACTAACTAATAACTAACCAACTAAAGTTATTTATTAATTTGTGATATCCTTAATACGCTGTCATTAACTCAGACTACATACTGTAAAATTATGTGATGATTACCAAATCACTTTAAAATGATGTGGAAGGAATCGGTCGTGGCCTAACTTAAACTCACGAACCGGCAGTATCTCGGAGGGACTAAGGAAAACCACGAAACGCCTCAGTCTGGATAGTCGATCTACGGGCCAAAATGTGAACCTGGGATTTCCCAGATTCTAAGCAGAAGTGGTAACCATTTGACTGCTATAAATCAGGTTAACTAGCATCGTGCCCCATTACAATTCCTTTTTCTGGACTGCATTCTTCCTTAGAAAGACAATTACAGCAGATTTCTTTCCTTACATTAGTGAAGCAAAAATGGCTAAACTACAAAGATTATTAGGGAGTTATTCCACTACATCTGGCTTTACATACAAACTTTCCATGTTCACTTTTGGTCACTCTGATTTCTGGGTACTCAGAATCCAAATACACAAATTGTAGAAGTCTAATGACATTTTCCGTAAAGTATCCGTATGAAATTGCATTTTCAGCAAAAAACAAGATATCGATTACTTGATCTGTTCTGTTTTTGAATATTAAAAGCGAATCAAATTGAGGGATACACGCAGTCT